GAATTGAGTCACAACATGGAGTCTGCGTGGTTCACTCAATTCCCCAATTCTTTCAATTCCCTCATATTACTCTTCTTCAGCACTTAGCACATTGATTAGTGCACAGTAAGCACTTGATTAAATACTTTAATCATTCTTTCATTCATATACTCTCTGTTCTGGCCAAAATGTCCTGCCAGATATTCACCATACAACAATACTCTGTGTCTCACTTCTATGTCTTTGCACAGATGGAGTCCTCCTTCTCTTCTGCCTCTCAGAATCTCTAGCTTCCTTCCAAACATAGCTCAAGTGCCACCTCCTAGGGGAAGTCTTTTCTGATTCCTCTAATTAGTTGCACTCACCCCATCCTGAAATTTCTCTGTAGAATTTTCTATAAACTTTGTATTTACCTATTTATGTATATGCTGTGCCCATCCTCCAACAGAACATTAGCTCTTTGAGGGAAAGGACTGTTTTATTTTTTCTTTGTGTTCCTAGCACCTAGCACTGCCCTTGTCTCATAGTGTGCACTTAATAAATGTTTGTTGAATTTTTTTTAATTGAATTGAGAAACAATTCTGATTAAGAGGAATAGGGAAAACCACCTAAAGAGTCCAAATGTGAATGCACAGGAAAATAATGGAGCACATTAGATATTTAAAAGAAGTAGAAGAAAGAAAAGGGGACAGATAATGTTAATGAATGAGTATGGCACTGTCCTATAATAATAGTGTCCACCTTGCAAAAGCTCAGAATGAACTAAGTCTGACAAGGAAAACTAAAGGCCAAAATAATGTGTTATTTTAAATTATATTGGAGGAAAGAGGAAGACCCAAGAACAGGTAGGGTTGCTTCTTGGATTCATTGAATAAGGATGATGGACAACAGAGAAAGAGAATTATTCAACTCTTACTTGACTTTGGTTTTCTCTACCAAGAATGACCTGGAATGGAAAGAAGAGAACAAAAGTGGCTAAAAGAAATTAGAAATTAAAGGTAAGTAGCAAGATAATTCTAGAGTTCCTAAATGTCCTAGATGATTTCAAGTGCCAGGCCTAGACAGAACTTATATTCCAATGAATTTAAAGAACAGGAATGGTAAATTCGTATCTAGAAAAGAAAGCTTTATAAGAATAGATGATGGTGCCAAACTAATTTCATTTCATTTTACTGACAAAGTAACTAGAATGATGGATCAAGGGCTCTGGATATATTTTACTTAGGTTTCAGCAAAGTATCTGATACCTCTCATTCTGTCCTGGTATGTACACAAAAAAAAAGGTATGATCTAAATAAAAGTATTGGTAGATAGATGTAGGAACATTTCAATAAACCCACTCAGGAAGTTGTAACTCAAATTCAGCTTATAGATGTCTAGTGGAAATTTAAATGACACAGACTTGGGCAAAGTCAAAAAAAGCTGCGAAAGATAGTTAATATACTGTGTTCAAGTTGGAAAACAAAAAGATCTCAACAGACTTTTAGGGGCCAATCAAATAAAATAAAATTTTCTGGGGATAAGGGCAAACACCTATCCCTGGGGTGACAAAAAATAAGTTTCACAAATACAAGAGGGGGGAGATATGGCTATGTACAGTACTTGTTTAAAAAAAAAAAAGATCTAGTGGATTGTGTGGACAACTAACTTTACACAAATCAGAGCAACCAGAAAAACTGATGTTGAAAGGCATTCAATAACTCTGCATCAAGAGAAACATGGAGCCCAAAACAAGGGAGATAACAGCCCCACTGTACTCCACTCTCATCAGAACACAAAAGCAAGCTGGAAAACATCTAATGGTAGTACCTCAGATGGTGAAGGGTCTCAAGATCATGTCATGCAGGGAACAGCTAAAGAAAATGTCAATGTTTGGGGGAATGAGAGTTTCCTTCAAGTACCTGAATGGCTGACATAAGGAAGACTTTGTACCATATGGTCCCAGAGGTCAGAATTAGGAGCAATGGGTAAAAGATGCAGAAATAGACTTAGCTACCACATAAACAAAAGCTTCCCAACAAATAGAACCTTCCAAAAGTAGAATTACTATTAGTAGCTAATGCATTTTCCCTCATATGAAGTTTTTAAGTGAATGCTAAATGGCTATTTGTTAGGATATTGAAGAGGGAACTCTCATCCAGGTCCTGGTTGGAATACAATGACTCTGAAGTCCCTCTCAACTCTGAGAATCTGTGATTCTGTGAAAGGAATAGAGTAAACCTGGAGAGCTCAACTAAGCTCTCCAGAAATTTATCCATGACCATCATCGGATTGTAGCAGAGATCTCAACTTAGACTTAAAAAGTACTGACATGCTTGACTATAGGCCTCTTCCCCTGACAGAGACAGGGGATCTGCTGATTGCTAGATTCAATTTGAAAAAGTCACTAAATAAGTCCCAAAATTATTGTAGGAACTAGCTAGCTATAGGTTCCTGTTAGAGCAGGGAATGGTCGGTCTGTTTCAGTTTGGAAACAAGGAAGACTCCCTTGGTACATTTGGGTGGAACTCCTAGGCCAGATATACAGAAAAATCATCAAGCCAAAAATTAACCCTACCATCATTAGCACTTCCATTAGTGGAAATCATCACCTCTAAGCAGTAGATGACACATCCAAAATGTCCTTCTAGAATGTACAGTTGTGTTATGGTCTATCTAGATGCCATTAACTTTCTTCTCCATTGTCCAAGTACTCACAGACTTTCTCACAGATGCTCTCAATCTTGGTCAGCAGCTGCTGCAACCACCATCCCAATTGCTTACTTAAATTTCTAACAAGTACTGCTATTGCTGTTTCTATCCTCTGTTATTCTAATTCCTGCTTCCCCTCCCACTTTTCATCTCCATAACTTTTGATAGCTTCTTTCTCCTGACTTCTTCTTCTCTCTTGAGTCTCTTGGCAATTATCCTTTCACCTGAAAAAAAATTTGGTGCTTAAACTTGTTGCCGGCCAATAAGGGTGTTACTTTCCTTCTGTACACACACACACACACACACACACACACACAAAAGACTGCTCAAAGTGCATCTAATGTAGTCATTATGGCTTCCACCTTATTCAGTGGTTGACAAAGACATGCTCATACATATATTCTGGCAATCTGGTTCTGGATCTGTGTATACCTCCCCTGGGAGCTTTCTTTTGTAACTCTCCATCTCTCCTCTCCCTCCCTATTCTCACTCTGTCCACATAAGGAATCATACCTTTACCTGTGGGTGCTCTGCCAAAGGAATATAAATTTTGATCGATGAAACCTCACAGGATTATCTTGGGGTTTACAGACTAGATTTCTTTTAAGGACCATGCTTTAAACTCAAATCACTCTGGCTTTCATTGATTGGCCAGCAATAGGTCCCAGTCCAAGCCTCATTTTGTCTTTACTTAGGCTCTGATGGCTCAAAGTGAGCACAAATAGCAACTGTTTCTGTGCTGCCCAAAAACCCTGAGGCTCTTCCCCTCCTAGATAGATTTTTTTTAAACTAGGTAAAAGAGGCCATTCTTTTTCTTATTTCATACCTAGCCTTAATTACTGAATGGTTGCAGACAGAGACCTGTGAAAGACCTTAGCTTAAAAAGTCCAAGGTCTCCCACTTCATCGCCTGGCCTGGAGTGGGGGAGTTGGGGGGGGGGGGGACACCGAGGGGAATCTCTAGTCGTCCTGATCCAAATCTTGCCACTGGACCCTGGTGGCTCGGGAAGAGAGAGTGAGGCAGGTGACTTTGCAGCCCTGCCTCACTTAAATCTAATTCACTTGCAAGTCATGCATACCTTCCTGATGTCGTGGTCCTCTACCAGAACAAACAACAAACAACAACTCTCCATGTGGACTTCCCCCCAATTTGCATTTGAAAATTGGACCCCCAAGGTACAACTACCTCAGGTTCAATGTACTCTGCGCATCTATGCTCTTAAAACTATAATTTAAGAGTCCCCATCAATGTGTTTACCTTTATTAGTCAAATGGTTGATACAATTAGCTCAAAACAAAGGAATTTACTAAAATGGCATAGTTACAAAAGATCCCCACCTCCCCCAAACCTGAGACTACTCTCCCACAAATATACACAGCACCAGTGGGAAGAGCAGAAACGGAAGTAGAGTACGCTAGTAGAGACACACACACTTGAGAAACACATGGAGCCAAGTCAACTAATGCCTCCCTCGGATGTTGCATGGTCACAAAATCTTTACCCTTTTCATGGCTTCTTCACATTGCTCCCCCTGAGTTCAGTGTCTCTGCTGGGCAAATAGCTCCACTGGCTTCCTACCTGGTGTGGCAGCTCCTAATGGTCATTTAACTCCACCATAAGACTCTATAGTCAATGGTGTGGGAGGAAGAAAGAAAAATCCCCTTCTTTCCCTCCTCCTGAAAAGTAAGGAATGGATTCTTCTGGATTCTTCAATGCTGATTCTCTTCTCAACTTCCAGAGCTCATATTTCTCAGAGCTGTCCTCAGCCTCCACTCTTGACTGATCCCCCTCCCTCCCACCCAGAATGTGCCTTTCTTTTTAAAAGAACATTGGGAACATAACCAAAAATCTCTTCACGTTGTACTTTAAATGGTAAAAGAATCCTTTCTCAACTTCTTGCTCTTAACTTGATCATTGTTTAAAAACTTATAAAAAAAAGAATCTCCCTCTGCAAGGAGCTTTCCTTTTCTCAGCAAGCATGTAATTCCTAAAGCAATTTCCTCCTGCTTTTCAGGAAGTTCGATTAGAACTTGTAGAGCTAAAAGGGATTAGATGACAGAAGCATTTAATTTAACCCCTCCTCTGTCTTAAGGATGAAACCAATGAAAATATCATTGAGTTATTTTACAAACTCAAGTAGATAACAAGAATTTTATTAGTAAACTAGGCTTTGAGGGTGAAAACAAAACTGATCACGTGAGAATCCGGGACATTTCAAGTTATGTGCTTTAACTCAAAGCTGATTGGGTAAAAGTCTCTTTTCATTCTTTCACGTGAGAATCCGGGACATTTCAAGTTATGTGCTTTAACTCAAAGCTGATTGGGTAAAAGTCTCTTTTCATTCTTTCTTTCTTCCTTCTTTATTCCAGACTGAAATCTAAATTCAAATGGTGACTGTTATTCCAAATTTAAAATCTCTATTTGTTAATCTACGGGGTTTGTGATTCTTTGCAGATAAACAGGCATTCTCTCTGATTAACAGACTTTGAATCCTGACCCTAATGGCCTTAAGCGAGACGAAGTCGTTGGATCTAAAGAGAAATGAACGAATAGATGTTGACTACATAAAAGGGATTCTTCAGCCTACACCCACTTGTGCTATCTGGGACGAAATCTGGAACTTTCAAGCCAAGCCCGACGATCTGCTTATTTCTACCTATCCCAAAGCAGGTGTGGGGGAAAGGGGCATGAGGGAACTTGGAGGGAGGGACCTTGCACATTGTGGACCCTGAAAAAACATTTCCTCAGTTGAAAGACAGAAATAGAATGCCTGAGTGGATAAAAATCTGCACTAAATTTGTGAGGGAGGGTGTTTGCGTACATGATTAAGATGAATGTTTCTAGAGAAAGTTAGTGTGACATTAATGAGAGATGTTGCATAAACATGGACTACAATTTTAAAGATTTGATCAATTTCTCAGTGTACTGAAGTGGGAAAAAGGTGTCACTAAATAGATTAAAGAATATTTGTATGATAGACCTGATGAAAAGGTAAAGAGGCAGTTTACTCAAGTATAAGCTCTGCTTTCCTTTTTGGAGTATGACAAAACATGCTTTATTTGTCAAATCAGTTTACAAAGATCTCTGTAGAGGAGAGTTCTAACAATATACATAAATGTTTGAGAGAAAGGTAGATGCATCAGTTTGTATGTATGTACATGTATACCTGTATACATATATAGGCATATGTGTATATGTATATGTATATAGACACATGAATTATCCTTTCAAAATGTCAGGAAAAATCTGTAAAAAGTGTGGGCTTGGATAATCCTAATCCCTTCCCTTTTACCTATTTCACCAAAGAAACAAATGATTTTATGTATGCTGTGTTTATAATCCTCTTATGAAGAAGGAGAGAGAGTTAGGGGAAAAGGCAGGTAAAGAGAGAGGACAAAGATCAATCTTTGTCATAGTGAGTGAATGTTTACTCTAATCAATTTCATACTCTCAGCAATTAATATAAAGGTTGTGATAACTTTCTCCCCAATGTAATTTAACCAATCAAAATTTCTGTTGGTCCTGATGACTTCTGAGTGCCTTAAACTTTATTAAAAAAAAAAACTAAAGTGTTTTTCATTTAAATTTTTTTTTAATTTACAAGTAGAGTCAAAGAATAAAATTTTTCTAATAATAATAATAAATAATTTATGTAACAGTTTAAGATTTGCAAAGCACTTTACACATATTATCTCATTTGATCCTCCTAACAACCTTGTGAGGTAGGTATCATTATTATCACCATTTTACAGATGAGAACACCAAGGCACAGAGCAGTTAAGTAACTTATGGAAGGTGTCACACAGCTAGTAACTATCTGAGATTAGATTCAAACTCAGATATTCCTGACTCCAAAGCCTATATTCTCTATCTGCCTAGTTACCTAAAGTTTTTTTTTAATTATTATACTCATAAAAATTCACTATACCAAATATAATTTTTGAAATTCAAAAAAAGCTAGAATTTTAGAGTTGAAAGAGGTCTGACAGGCTATCTAGTCTAATTCATACATAAACAAAACTTTCTCAACACAATAATCAATCAAGAAATATGTATTAAGTACCTACTATGTACTTGGTACAGTTCTAGGTTCTGGAGATATAAGGACAAAAGTAAAGCAATCCTTACCTTCTAGGAGCTTACATTGTATATGAAAGGAAAACATTTGCATTTACAAATGTACACAAAGTAAATAAAAGGCAATAGAGGGAGGCAAACTGAAGCACATCCACAGCTGAATGAATGAAGAAAGGTTTCATGTAGCCTGTGGTATCTGAACCAAAGTTGTGAAGGAAATTAGAGATTCTAAAAGTGAAAAGGAACTAAATTCTAAATATACAGGACAGCCAATGCAAAAGGCACAGAGAGAAGAGATGGAGTGCCATGTGAGAGAAACAATAAAAAGGTCTATTTGGCTAGATAGCACAATTTGGGAAGGGGAATAATATATAATAACAAATTAGAAAAGGTAGGTTAGAGCTAGATTGCAAAAAGCTTTAGATTCTAAACAGAGAAAAATGTATTTGATCCTAGAGGTAATCGGTAATCACCAAAGTTTATTGGACAGATGAATAACATGGTCAGACTTTTGTTTTTGAAATATCACTTTATCAGCTGATTGGAGAATGGATTGGAGACAACGGAAACTATTGCAATAATCCAGGCAAGAGATTATAAGGGCCTGAACTAGGGAGGTTGCCATGTGAGTGAAAAGGGACACATGGGAGAGATGGTATGGAGTAGAATCAATAAGACTGGACTTGCTGAGAAAAATTGGGGAATTGAGGTTGTCTCCAAAGTTGCAAACCTAGGTGACTAGCAGAATGGTGCAACCCTCCACAGAAACAGGGAAGTTATGAAGGGAGGTAGGTTTGAAGGAAAGATGATAAGTTCTCTTTGGGATGTGTTGCATTTGAGTTGTCTACAAGATATCTAGGTCAACATTTCCAATAAGCAGTTGATAAAATGGACCTAAAATTCAGCAGACTAGTACTGTTATCTGAAAGTTATCTAAATAGAAGTGACAATCAGATCCATGGAAGCTGATGATGTCACCAAGAGTGTGGAGAGAGACCAGAACCAAGCTATAGGGAACACTCACAGTTTAGGAGCAAGATATGGATGATGAGCCATCAAAAGAGACTGATAAGCAGTGGTCAGATAAATAGGAGGAAAATCAAGAAAGAGGGGTACCATAAAAACTCAACAAGAATAAAGTAACCAGGAGTGGACAACAGTGTTAAATTCTGCAGAAAAGTCAAAAAATCTGAACACTGTGAAAACACCATCACATATGGCCATTAAGAGATCAGTGTTAACTTCAGAGAGAGCCATTTCAACAGACTGATAGGGTTGGAAACTTGATTGCCAAGGGTTAAGAAGTGACAACAAAAAGGGAAAGTGGCAACAATGATTATAGACAGTTTTTTCTTGGAGTTTGGCTGTGAATGGGAGGAGAAATATATGACTCGAGCTTAAGGAAATGGTGAGGTGAGGGTCTTTTTAAGGATGAGGGGAGGCCTGAGTATATTTGTAAGCAGTAAGGAATAAGCCAATAAATTAATAAATAAGGAGATGGAATAAAGGGGTCAAGTACAGGGATTGACCTTGGCAAAGAGAATTGCCACCTTTTCATCAGTCTGGAGAAAAGGAGCAGAGAATGGAAGACGATGTTGAAAAGTTCTGAAATACTAAGTATACTTACTAGTATACTAATAAGTATACTAAGTATACTTATTTTATAAAATAAGAAGGAGCTCACAGTAAATGGACTCTTTTCTTAGAAAAGTATGAGATGAGATGATAGGGGGATAGGGTAGTGGAAGAGATTTGAGAAGTTTTTGAATAGTCACTGCAGGGAGTGAAATAGAGAATTAATTAGAGAGAAGTAAAAGGATTTCCTTGCCACAGTAAGGGCCCAGTTGAGATTACATATCCAACAAATGGTCATCCAGTCTCTACTTAAAGACCTCTAATGAAAGGGGAATTCACAGTCTCTCAAGGAAGATGATTCTTCTTTTGAATAACTCTAAGTGGCAAAGAATGAGCCAATAGACAGGAAGAAATTGTATTATTCCTCTGGTTCATCTGCCTAAGTCATACATCATAGATTTCAGTGGATTTTAGAGGTCACATGGTCCAACCTCTCATTTTACAGATGCTGAAACTACAGCCCAAAGAGACTGAGTGATTTACCCAAAGTCATAAAATCACAGAATCTTATAACTGGAGGAGACTTTAAAAATCACCTGTATCTGAATGAGAATACACTCTACCTTTTAAAGAATGAAATAATCAGTAAGGAAAATCAGGAATTGAATACTTGGTCTGCTTTTTGACAAAGATCAAACATCAATTGACATTTTGGTCACTGAAGTTTCCTCCTTCCCCCTAATATCACAACTCCTTTGATATTTTCCAAACTGTGCTTATATTAATTCCGTATGACTGGGTGATCAAAAAGGAAATAAAATGGCTGAGTTAAAATTTCAAGCCAGGTCCTTTGATTCCAAATCCAGTCTTCTTTCCACTAGACTCTGCTGCTTCAAAAAGGAGACAGCTATTTTCCAAATGGCTTCTTTAAACTTGAACCTGGGATCAATGGTGAGATATCAAATGCTCCATTCCCAGAGAGAATGCAAAACTCACATGAGGACTCAGATCTTCATTCCTTTATAGAGTGCCATTATGTAATGCTTTTTATCTTTGTTAATAATAGTGAGGTTTTTACAGGACAATATAGAATTTTATTCTGTATTGCTTTATGGATTTGATATGACTCCATATTTTAAAAAAATTAAGAACCCTCTCAAACGTCTATTCTTCTCACTTCTTTCTATGAAATAAGGAACAACTTGGACCCAGGAAATAGTAGACATGATACAAAATGATGGAAATATTGAGAAATGTAAACGAGCTCCTACTCACCTTCGATTTCCTTTCATTGAATGGATAATTCCACCAATGGACTCCGGTAAGTGACAGTATGGTCACCCAACCACACTTGACTATAAACAATGTCTGGATTATATTACAGCCTAACAACAAATGAACAATGGCCAGAGAAATTCTGTATTTGTTTTTTTTTTCTCTGCTCATAATTAATCTTTACCTTTTACCTTTCTACCTTTACTTTCCCCTCAACTCCTGGCAGCTAAGACCAAAAGTGACAATACTCTACCCTGTCTTCTCACAGTTTCCCAGGATCAGTCCAATGCATAGTCTTTTATAACAATACAAACAATAGTAGGACTAGTAGTAGCCAGAGGAAGGAGAGGGAAGAGAGGAATCCCCCACCCACCCCCAAACATCCCTTATTCTCATATTATTGCCAATAGATTCCCAAGTTCCAGCACCATCTCTTGAGAAAGGGCTCTAGTCTCATTCTATCTGTTCATACAAGCCATAATCCAGACTCTCTTTTCTATGTATAACACCTTTACCTGGGATCCACAGACGTAAAGGGTCCATGGATAGAGTTCAGAGGGTCCATGAATTTGTATGGGAGGGAAAAACCTACATCTTTATTTTCACTAACCTCTAATTGAAATTTAGCATTTCCTTCAATTATTAAAAAAAATATATTATTCTAAGAAAGGGTCTTACAGGCTTTACTGGACTGCCAGAGGGTTCAACGGCACAAAAAAAGATTAAGAACCTGTCCCCTAAAACCACTCCTCTCCCACAACCTCTCTCCCACCCCACCAGATTCTGGGACAATATGTGTAGAATAGCCTAAATCACTGATTTCCCTCTGAAATGTAAACAATTCTTACTTACTTCAGTTCTTTTTGTACAGACTCCCAAGCAAAATCCTTTTGAAAGGCTCAGAAACACAACTGAAGAAGAGAAAGCATGAGTGAATCTAGGTATAAGAAAGAGGGAACTTGGGGAGATCTGGCCTAAGAAATAAAAGAAAGGAGATGACTGGGGAGTGGACTCGATAAAGGTAGAAAAAAAAGAATGACAAGCCTAATTAAAAAGTGCTCCTGTGTCTTTTAACAATCCCACAGTGCCCACAGTTGCCCACAGTTCTTTTAACAATCTCCTATCACAAGCCCCTGTGCTTGCACTTTAACTCCTGCCCCCAGGTCACAGGATTCTCCATGTTTGGCTTGGGACTGAAAAAGTTCTCATTCTTATTGCCACCAGGTTGGTGCGGGAAAAGAAGAGGACTCCCTGATACATCATCCTCACCTTCAAAAAATTTGTTTCTGATGTTGCTTAGATACTATGTGCTTTAGTTACACTATGAACTTTTATGAATTAGCTTGACAATTTAAATACCACAAATAACATTGTATCTGTGGTTTAAAAAAAATTAAGTGTTTTAAGTTCTAAACAATTTATTTACAAATGAACTTCACAAACATAGCCTATTCCTAAGCTCAAGATCGTTTATCTATTTTATTCAGCATGGTATAATATTTCTTAGATCATAAGAAGACAGATTTAGAGCTGGAAGGGCAGTGGTCAAACTCAAATAGAAATGGATCCCTCTCACCACACATCAACTTGGAAAACCACAAAATAACATTATCTAGGTGGTATTGTATTTTTATTTATTTTGTTAAACATGTCTCTATTGTATTTTAATCTGGTTTGGCCACACTATGTAACAGTTTTCCAGGTTGATCCATTGGCCCCTGAGTTGGACACCTCTGCTTTAGAGGTCAAGTCCAACCCCCACAATTTACAGATGAAGCCAAGAGAGATTAAATAACCTGAGATTGCACAATTTGTAAGTATCTGAGACAGAATTTGAACCCAAGTTTTCTTGTCTCTAAGACTAGCATTATGACATGCTGCTATCCTTTCTCTGTCTCTGTTTCTCTCTGCCTTTCTATATTATCTATACAGATATATAAAATAACATATTTATATAGAACTTTTAAGTTTACAAACCGTTTTCTTCATAGCATTCCTTGTAACGTAATTATCAGTGATCCTATTTCATAAATGAGGAAACTGAGACTTAGCGGTATTAAATGATTTACCCAAAGTCACAAAGATAGTAAGTGTTGGAGCTGGCCCTCCAACACTGATCTTTTGACTTTTAGTGTATATCCTTGAGCCATAATGACTCTCATTCAAGATTTAGAACACTAAAATACTTGGTTGATAATTAATTGAATTAAGCTCTTTTCTGGCCTTTGATTTTTGAAATGTAATATTTATTCAAACCTTACATTTTTGCAACATGGAAACAAAGTGTGCTTGCTTGGGGTGGGAAATATTTCTTAATGTGGACCCTAACAATGTGTTTCTGGAGACATGGATACATATACAGATACATAGTTACACAGATACACAGATACATAGATATTATATGGGTATATGTAGATATAGTAGAGGTGCATAGCTATATCTATATAGTATATATGTATATATAGTGTATATGTATAGATACATCTATATAGTATTTATAGATATAGATATATAGAAACACCCTACTTCTTTCTAAGTTTGGTTCACTCATTCCAACCTGCCCTCAACCTATTATGTCTAAGTTTCCACTTTTTCTCAGGGTGCTAGGGTTAACCACCCTCTCTAATGTGCTTCCTATCTACACAAGCAGGAACCAATAAGACAATGAATCCACACAATATATAACATTTATATATAACCACTTATAATAGTTAGATATACAATTTTTAAATTCTAAATATAACCATGTACTTAACTACAAGGCAAAAAAGAAAATAATATATCAAATAAAGTACATAAATAATAAAACACATCATGATATGTACATAAACCTGGATAATGCTTTTCCATAATATACTCAGTATCTATGGTGAACAATGGGAACATACACATTGGAACCTGAAAAGGAAGCACCTAAGGGGATAACTCACATGTGTATATATGTGTATATATATATATATATATATATATATATTCCACAGTTATGTGGGCTATAGGCCTCAATGTTATTGCCCATTCAGGAACATCTGCACTATATGAAACAAGCTGAGACTCACTATTTGACTGTTGATCTTTACTACTTTTCAGTTAAAGAAATACTATTCTCTTCTCTACCTGAATGTTAGTGTAACACAGGAGCTTTTGGGCTCCGGCCTCTAACAGGTTCACTCTTGTTCTGGGCAGCCAGAAGGACAGAAACAGAGACATAATGAGGGGATATTTAATACTTTATTCTTCTCAATGGAATTAATGATAATGGGAGCACCAGCTCCTACAGCATCCCCTAATTACTCTTCTCGAAGGGGCAGATGAGAATATACAGAGTAGGAGCTCCAACTCCTACCGTATCCCCTAACTCCAGATGGGTGCCAGTTGAGACACGCACAGCATTCCAGCTTGTGCATTCTCCACTTACCAAGCAGTGCTCACTTGATTTACAGAGGAGCACACAAAGAAGGCAATTTGCTAGCAATAACATCACAAGTTTAGATTGACTTTAGCAATATCATGATGACTTAGTACAGCGCATGCGCAATAGGTATTTACAACTTTAAGCACAAATGTTTAAATTATGCAAGGTTATATAATAATGTGTAGTCGCAGTAGAAATTGTTTATGGCCATGATCCTGGGAATTATTATCTAAAAAAGAATAACAAAATCCACCTTACATATAGTTAGCCTTTACAGGCTCTTTCAATTAACCATTACCATTAAAAGGGTATTTAGAATATGTTAACTTTTAATGTAAATCACAGTTGTCTTTAAGCTAGGGAAATGCAGTGCTCATCAAACTAGCTCTCTCTGTTATACAAACTGGCCCAGCCAGTTATTTACTGACCCAAATAACCAATGAGAACAGAGCTCACCAACACAGCTCCAGCTCACCAGGATACCGAAGCAGCTACAAAGCCCCCTTTGCTTTGCTTTCTCAAGCCAGAGGTGGCAGCAGAGACCAAAAAGCCCTCACGAAAAGCTTCACCTTTTGCTAATTATGGGTGATGTTGAAAGGCAATAAATGTCACTAGAGCTCTTGGCCCATGAAGTCAATTTTCTCTCCAACCAACAGAGGATCACTCAGTCGAGGCCTTCTCTTAACTGACTGCTTCTAACTGCCACAGCTCCAATAAAGCAATGTTTCAATCCTCCTACTATTTCTCTGCTTCTCCTCAGATTTTTCTTCTGGTTCCTAGTTGTTCTTCTTCCTCTTCCTCTTCGCTGCTCAATTCAATGGCTGAAACGAGAACTTCCTGACTCTCAGTGACTCATTTGTTGTTTAAAAAGTCTCAATCCCACAAATTTCCTCTATTAAACTGGCAGTCCTTTTTTAATCACACCTCAGTCTCCAAATGTTTATATCATTTCTCATAAAATGTGCATATGCAAATTATCCAAGGTATCTATCATGTTCCAAAGTTTTCAACTTTGAATCTTTGTTTCTTGACCATCATATTTCTCTAGTTTTTAATAAATAAAAAGTCTTCCTCTGCTTCTTTATGACATTAAACATCACTCTACTTTGTTGAAAAAGATCCAGGTCCTTATGTCTATATCACAGATAATTTTCTCTCCAAAACTGTCCAAATTCCATCTGAAAGCTCTTAAAACAAAGTTCTTTTTCTACTTCTGTTAGTCATTAAAATGTTCATGCATAACAGCAGCAATGTATTATGTAAGATTACATAATTTAATAATCAATATAAATCTCTTCTTTTGTGTAAAAATATTTTTCTGTTCTTTTCATCACTAAATGGTTCCATTTAACTTAAAGGGATAAAGTACATTACACTTTAATGGACCTATGATCTCATCAGTGTTGGCATTCTCCCCAAAAGTAGAGATCATAACCCATCCACACTTTCTCCTCCAATACATACTCTTGTCCATATTCCCCATTAAATCCTCCAAAAAAAGTCCATCCAATTTTCTGGGGGCCCTCTAATTGGTCTCCTTATCTCATGTTTCTCCAATCTGATTCATCTTCCATTCAGTTGACAAGCGATTTTTCTAATGTGTAGATCTGACACTGTTACCCTCCCCCACAAAATTCAATAAGCCCCAGTGGCTCCTTATTATCTCTAGAATCAAATATAAAGTACTCTGGGTTTTTTTTTCATTTAATACTTTTCATAATCTGGCCACTACTTAGCATTCCAGTGTTATTTATTCCCCTCAATGCACTTTAAATCCAGCAATACTAGATGACTTATCGTTCCTTAGACACAACACTGCATTTCTTGCCTCTCTGCCTTTTCCCCCTTGGCTAGAATCCTCTGGCTTTCCCCATACCTGGAATGCTCTCCTTCCTCCTCTCTACCTTTTAGTTTCCCTGATTTCCTTTAAGACTCAGTTCACATCCCACATTCTGCAGACCTTGCCCAGTCTCCCTGGCTGATAGAACTTTCCATCTATCTCACTATTCACACTATTCACCCATTAGACTGTGATATCCTTGAACACATCAACTGTTTTTGCCCTTTTCTGTATCCCCAGGACTTAGCACACTGCCTGTCACAAAGTAAATACTTGATAAATTCCTATCAATTTGATTTCCTCTAGATCTCTAGACATTATTACACAGACATTATTGAACCAATATATTATGTGGACTATTCCTTATTTTTACTACCTGGCCAATCTACCACTTTTTTAATCAGGAAAGTATTTGATATCTTTTACATTATTTGGTAATGTATGCAAAGTTTTGTGTATGTAATTTTTCATGCATCTCTGAATTACTCATTTTAGCCAGCAATTTTAATTCCTCAGAAATTATGATTTGTACCTGTATAGCATCATTAGAAACATATTCACATTAAAAATGGAATTTTGAGGAAGGTCTTTGTGCTTACTAAAAGCCTTTAACAGTTTCCCAAATGCAATCCAGCCCACTCTTCTTCATATTTAGTACAGGGCCAAAGTCATTGTCCATCTGCATTATCTGACCAGGATATGTGTGATAATGCACCAGTTGTTCAACCAACTAAATATCATTTTGTAGACCACAGACATTTTTGTATCCTCAGTTTTTCCTATATGGATAGGGTAAATTCTTGTGTGATTATACTTTTTTAAAGTCTCTGCAATGTCTATACCTTGATAAAATCAGAATAGATCTACAAGACAGAAACTTTCCGTGTGGCTATGTAAATCACTGTAGAAGTCAGTTACTTCTTAACCAACTGGAGATCCAGTTCCATTCCACAAATACTTATTAAGCACATATTATGTGAAGAAAGCACAGTGTTAGGCACTGAGGGATATTTAAAAATTAAATAAGACACTGTCACCAACTTCATGGAGTTTACAATCTAGTAGAAGAATGTAGTATTTTTAAAATAACTATGATAGAAAATATGACAAGATGAATGCCTTTAATACTTCATACAAAGTACTTTTCAAGATCTCAGGAAGGAAAGGTCACTACTGACTAGGGGCATCTAAGGAAGTTTCATGGAAAGGGGGACATTTGAACTGAAATAAATTCAACAGGCAAAGGTAGAGAAAAGTACATTACAGAGGAAGAAATGTTTGAGCAAAGTTGGGAAAGCATTGTACATATGAGAGACAGTGAGTAGTCAATATTGTCCAAAATGTTGTAAGTTGAAATAAGACTGGAAAGTTAAAGTGATGACATACTGTGGAACCTTGGATGCCAAACTAAGGAGTTTGGAGCTATGAAGGATTTTTGAACAGTAGAATGAAATGATTACACTTGTCCAAAAGATAAATTAATCTGGTAGTAATATAAAGGACATATTGAAGAAGGCAGAGAATGAAGACATGAAGACCAGTCCAGGGGCTATGGTAGAAACCCAGGCAAGTGATGAGGGCTTATAGGAGAAAGGAAGCAATGGGAATATAAAAGAATGAACAGAGATGAGATATACCATATATGAAAACAGAATCTCTAGGACTTGACAATTGAATGTAGGAGGGGTTTGAGAGGGAAAAGTCAAAGACAACAGCAAGATTTCAAACTCAAAAAACTGACTGAATTGATAAAAATAGAAAAGCAAGAAGGAGTACCAGATTTTAGCAAAGTGAGTTTTAAATACCAGTGGGGACATCCAGTTATCAGTACCAATTTTCTATTTAAAAATATCCAGTAGTCAGTTGAAAATGTGAGTCTGGGACTTAGTAGAAAGCAGAGCACTAGAGATAACAATTTAGGAATCATCCACATAAAAGGAAAGCCCTGGAAATGGGTGAGATTTCAAGAAAAAGAGATAATAGAGAAAAGATAAGAGGACTAATGAGAATACCTTGGGAAATACCTACATTAAGAGATTTTTTAAAAACTGTTTCACCTCCACCAGTGATTTATTCTTTGTGCATTTGGTCTTGTCCCACTGCTTTTTCCATCTTCCACTTCCTCAGTGCCTTTTCCACTTTTTTGTATACCACCTATGAGATTGATGTGTGTAGTCCAAATATAGTAGTTCCACTGACATTGATGATGAAAATAATTTGTTATAGAATTGTTATTCTAATTCTGTCTTTTTTTTTTCTTCCTTCACTTTCATCTATAAATGTCCTTGGAATGATTTGACTTGGTTCAATCTCATGCTGCCTCTATTCTTTGCTGTGTTATGAATGATTCTTCTCATAATTTTCTATCATTTTCCTTGGTAATGTTTTAAAACACATGGATAGTCTAAATAATAAGAGCTAGCATTTATTATGTATGTTAAAGTTTACAAAACACTTTACATATATTATCTTGTTTGATTCTACAGCAACACCGTAAGTCAGGTGCTATTATTCTCCCCATTTTATAGATTAGAAAACTGAATCTAAGAGTGCCTTGCCCTGGATCACATTGCTAATAGGAATCTAATACAGGATTCAAACTCAGATATTCTTGACTCCCAATACAGCACTCTATCCACTATGCCACCCAGCTGTCTCACCTATTGCCCTTGGCTATCATGTCATTCCATTTGTCAAGATCAAATGTTTGCTGGCTCACTCATTTTCTGGGTTCTTTCAGCATTATTTTTGTGGTAATTGTTTTATGACTTGTATGAACTTATACAGGAGTCAACTTGTTCTTTGTTAATGACTGTTCTTATCTATATCTTATTTTTCAGCATCAATAGTTCATTTGACTAGAACATATTGAAACCATTGTAATTGCACACAGTTACTTATCTTTTCCTCTTTTTCTACTTTGGTGTTGAATTTATCTTTTTTTTTCTAACATGGTCTCACTGACTACAAACAACTAATTTAGAAGTAACTCACATCAGTAACAAGTTATTTCCAATCTTTTAAGATATAGTCCATTTCATTTTTTGTGATAATGTTGAACTTTCTAAGTCCAACATTTTTTTTTGCAAGGCAGTTGGGGTTAAGTGACTTGTCCAGGGTCACACAGCTAGTAAGTGTCAAGTGTCTGGTCTGGGACCAGATTTGAACTCAGGTCCTCCTGAATCCAGGGCCAGTGCTCTATCACTGCACCACCTAGCTGCCCCTAACAGTCCTTATTCTTTTTTTTTTTTTTTTTTTTTTTTGCCTTTTCGGTGAGGCAATTGGAGTTAAGTGACTTGCCCGGAGTCACACAGCTAGTAAGTGTCATATGTTTGAGGCCACATTTGAACTCAGGTCCTCTTGACTCCAAGGCCGGAGCTCTATCCACTAGATAGAGCTACCTAGCTGCCACCTAGCTGCCCCCCCTAAGTCCAAAATTTTCTAACTCTCTTTATAAAGAAAGTGTTCCTGAAAGTGGGGTCATCCACTGAGTCATCCACAAACTCTTCTTGTTTCTTAATCTTGAACCATTTTTATAACATATTTTTTCATTGCTGGAGACAGAAATGGCAAACCCCTACAGTATCTTTGCCCAAAAAAAAAAAACCCTAAATGGGGTCACAAAGCATCAAACACTGTTGAAACAACCAAAAAGATTCTTACCTGCCCTCAAAGAGTATACATTCTAGTAAATTATCTCACACACACACAAAAAAAATAAACAGAAAAGAAAAGGTTCTTACAGTGGGGAAATGGGGGAAGGTGAGAGGGAATGAGTGAATCTTATTCTCATAGGATTTGACTTAAGGAGGGAATAACATACACACTCAATTGGGTATGGAAATCTGTCTTACCCTACAAATGGGGGGGAGGGGAAGGGGACAAGAGAGTAGGGGGATGATAGAGAGGAGGGCAGATTAGGAAAGAGGGTAATCAGAAGCAAATACTTCTGAGGAGGGACAGGGTCAAAAGAAAGAATAGAATGAATGGGGGGGCAGGATAAGATTAAGAGAAATAGAGTTAGTTTTTCACAGCATGTCTACTATGGAAGTGTTTTGCATAACTGCACATGTATAACCTATATTGAGTTGCTTGCCTTTTCTATAAGGGTGGGTGGGGAGGGAGGAAGGGAGAAAATTTGGAACCCAAAGTTTAAAAAACACATGTTTGAAAAAATGTTTTCACATGCAACTGGGAAATAAGAAATATAGGAAATGGGGTACAGAAATCCATCCTGCCCTATAGGAAAATAGAAGGGGAGGGGGGGAGAGATAGCAGGGAAAGCAGACTAGGGGAAGGGGTATTCAGAATACATGCCATCTTGGGGTGGGGGGAGGAGCGAGATGGGGTGAAAATTTGGAATTCAAAATCTTGTGGAAGTAAATGTTGAAAACTAAAAATACATAAATTTATTTTAAAAAAAGACTATACATTCTAATGGCAAAATACATATAAAGGGGGACTGAATTAGCAGATGCTGAACATAAGTATGGCATAGACATGGCCAAGAAGAAGAGGGAAGATAAGACAAAGGCTTATCTATCAAAGCCAAGTGTCCCAGGGGCAGAGTCCAATGTTCCAGTTCCAGTGGGAGGGGGATGAGGATAATGGCAGCATGGTGTGGAGATGGCCATGGAGATCTAGAGACAGCTACAATGCTCTGGCAGCTGCACTGAATTGTTCCCAAAGTTGAAGCAATGAAAGAAAAAAGATTCTAGAGTCACAATATAAGAATGATGATGAATGGACAAAAACTATTTTGCAGGTTTGGCTCAAGCTGATGCAATGCCATCACCACGCATACTAAAAACTCACCTTCCTATCCAGCTGTTGCCACCATCCTTCTTGGAGAATAGCTGTAAGGTAAGGAGCAAGAGACATACCTTGGAACCTCTTAAAGCAGGCTTCAGTCAGTCTTCTAGAAACAAATTTCTCCTGGTCTCAAAGGCCCTAATATACTACTAAGTCCAGTAATTTGTTTTTTATGGGAGTAGAAGAGGGATGAACCTATGATTTCATTGCCATGGGGAATTACCAGATAGGAAACTCCTATCAATACAGTTGGGCACAATCTCCAACTTACGGTCTTAAGGAATTGCCTAGACCAATGAGAGCTACAGCGACTTACTTAGGGTCACATAATCAATATATATTCAAGGAAGGACTTGAACCTACATCTTTGTGACTCTGAGATTAACTCTCTACCAACTATGCCTTGCTGTGTCCAGTAACATTTCCTTATCATGATTACTTTGGAATCCTTTCTATCACTCACTCACAAAAATAACAAATCACTCACAAGAAAGCAACCTCTAAATGTAATTATGGGACAGCATTGAGATCATAGTTACCAAACCTAAAATAAGGCCTAAAGAGATAAGTAGAAACAAGAGAACACTGTATACAGCAACAGCAATATTGTTTTAAGAATGACTTTGAATGAATAAGTTATTTTGACTATTGTAAATACCCAAATCAGCAGACTTACAGACTCGTATATATGTTTATGCCACCACAGCACCTAGTCAATATTAGCACTAGATGACTAACTAAAAGTCAATTTGTCCAAAGATAAGAAAACTGAGACCCCAGGAATAAATAGTTGGCAAATGAATCAATGATAGCTAACTGCAATTGTAATTTTTTTCTCTATACACCTCACACCTCTTTTTTTTTCCCCTCCCTCATGACCAATTTCAGATAATCTACGTGGCAAGAAATGCCAAGGACAATTTGGTGTCCTATTACCATTTCCAAAAGATGAACGCAGCACTTCCTGATCCAGGAACCTGGGAGGAGTATTTTGAAGATTTCCTGGAAGGAAAAGGTGACAGAATCCAACTATATGGTTGTTGCCAACAAAACTTTGAAATTATAAAGAAATCTTTGACCCTTTCATGAGGAGCTCAACCCTCTTTTGTTTTTAATATCAAGGAATTGGTAGGGTGACCCACACTCTCTCCTGAATGCATCTTCCATTCAAATGAATTTACACATTTTTTACCTGTCTTTCAGTGTGCTGGGGTTCCTGGCATGATCATGTGAAAGGATGGTGGGATGCAAAAGATAAATATCCCATTCTCTACCTCTTCTATGAGGACATGAAGAAGGTGAGGGATAGATCCAGTCTGTCAATCAATAGTATTTACTAAGGGTCCACTAGGTGCACATAACTATACTAGGCACTTAAGATAATTTAGAAGGAAGTGGAAAACTGCCCTGATAAGAACCTTACCATGTTCAACAGATGCTGTATTTTAAATACTGCTTTACCAAAGTAGGAAATCGATTCTCTTGTAATGATTCTAAGAACTAATCACAGAAGCTCTGGATATTTTGCCCAGTGAAGGTGGCATCTTTATAAACTTTCCCCAGAGCAATGCTCTGTACCTTTTTCTCTGGTATTACAATCTAGCCCTAAAGTCAACAACAAGCACTATGTAAGAGGCACTGTGCTAAGTACTGGGGATACAATGATAAGAAAAATTTGTCCTTCCCCAGAGTGATGCTCTAGGCCTCTTACTCTGTTACTACTTCCTAATCATCAAGTCAAGTCAACAAGCATTTATTAAGTGTTTACTTTGTACCAGGCATTGTGCTAAGCACTGGGGATGCAAAAACAAGAAGAAATACAGTACCCTCAAGGAGCTTACCTGGAGGAAGATAATGATAATTAAGATTATTATGTCCAAAGAGTTATTAAACTATCTATACCCTTTGACCCAGCAATACCACTACTTAGTCTATTTCTGAAGATAATTAGGGAAAAGGGAAAATAATCTATATGTTCTAAAATGTTTATAGCAGCTGTCTTTGTGGTGGCAAAGAATTGGAAACTGCAGGGATGCCCATCAATTAGAGAAGAGCTAAACAAATTGTGGTATATGATTTTGATGGAATACTGTTGTGCTATAAGAAATGATGAGCTCAATGATTTTAGAAAGACATGGAAAGACTTGAGCAAAATGAGCAGAACCAAGAGAACATCATATATAGTAACAGCAACATTGTTTTAAGAATGACTTTGAATGAATTAAGTTATTTTGACTATTCTAAAAATCCAAATTAATTCTAAAGGACATGTGAAGTCACTCTCTGCATCCAAAAAATGAATTGATAAATAGAAATATGTATAGAATAATTATACATATATGTACAGTGTGTGTGTGTGTGTGTGTGTGTGTGTGTGTGTGTGTGTGTGTCTAATGGTAACCATCCCTAGGGTGAGGGCAGAAGGGAAGAGAGAAAAAATTTACATGATAATTTTGTTGTAAATTTGAAAGGAACACCAAGTTGTGCCTGGTAGATTTGCAGTTGCATGTGCAATCATCTTTTTTATTGTACTATGTTATGGATATGCTTATTTTATTCTATAAATTAAAAACTAAATTTAATAATGAAAAAACTAGTGGGAAACTAAAAAAAAAATCTAATGCACTTTCTACTATATTGTACTATGTGTTACACTGGGTTGAAGGTTTTCACTGTCATAAGTACTATGTAACACACTATAATACACTATGAAGGTTCTATGTCATAAGCAAATGTGTCAAGCTAGAGAGTATTTCCAGGAAGAAAGAGAAAAAACATCAGAAGTAGAAAAAGAATCCTAGGATACTTTTCTGTAGAGGTAGGGCCTCAATTTTCGATTTAACATGGAAAGGATTTTTTTAGATTATTATTGTTTCTTTTTCACATTCTTTTTTTTTAATTTTAAGTTCAAATTCTCTCCTCCTATTGAGAAGGCAAGCAATATGATTGTTAATTATATGTGTGAAGTTATGCAAAACATACTTCCATATTAACCATATTACAAAAAAAAGCAAGAAAAATGAAGTGAAAAAATTATACTTCAATCTGTACTCAGAATTCATTAGTTTTCTCTCCAGAAATCTGCACTCAGAATTCATTAGTTTTCTCTCCAGAAGTATACAACATTTTTCAACAGGAGCCCTTTGAAATTGTTATGTATCATTTTATTGAAGAGAATAACTAAGTCTTTCACAGTGGATCATCCTTACAATATTGCTGTTATTCTATATAATGTTCTCCTGGTTCTGCTCACTTCACTTTGCATCAGTTCATGTAAATCTTTCCAGGTTTTTCTGAAACCATCCCCCTGGTCATTTCTTAGAGCAAAATAATATTCCATTACAATTATATACCACAACTTATTCAGCCATTCCCCAATTGATGGGCATCCCTTCAATTTCCAATTCTTTGCCACCACAAAAAGAGCTGCTATAAATATTTTTGAACATGTGGGTTCTTTTCCCATTTTTATAATCTCCTTGGGATATAGACCTAGAAGTGGTATTGCTGGGTCAAAGAGTATGCACAGTTTTATAGCCCTTTGGATGTAGTTCCAAATTGTTCTCCAAAATGGCTAAACCAGTTCACAACTCCATCAAAGGTGTATCAGTGTCCCTATTTTTCCACATCTCCTCTAGCATTTGTTATTTTTCTTTTCAGTCATGTTAGCCAATCTGATAGGTGTGAGGTGGAATCTTCTTTTAATTTGCATTTTTCTAATCAGTAGTGATTTAGAGCATGTTTTTCATGCAACTATAGCTCTGATTTCTTCTTCTGAAAGCTGCCTGTTCATATCCTTTGACTATTTATCAGTTGAGGAATGGCTCTTATTTTTATAAATTTGGCTCAGTTCCTTGTATATTTAAGAAATGAGGCATTTATCAGAGAAAATTCCTGTAAAACTTTTTCCCAGTTTCTTGTTTTCATTCCAATTTTGGCTACATTGGTTTTGTTTGTGCAAAACCTTTTTAATTTCATGTAATCAAAATTTTATTTCCTGTAATTCTCTCTACTTCTTATTTGGTCACAAATTCTCACATCCATAGATCTGACAGGTAAATTTTTCCATGCTCTCCTAACTTGCTTATGATATCACCCTTTATGTCTGAATCATATACCCATTTTGACTTTATCTTGTTATATGGTGGGAGAAGTTGGTCTATGTTGTTTCTGCCAAACTGCTTTCCAGTTTTCCCAGCAATTTTTGTCAAATAGTGAGTACTTGCCCCCAAAGCCTCTATCTTTGGGTTTACCAAACACTACATTAAACAACATATTGTTGGATTCTGGTTTCTAATTCACTTCGATTTGGGGGGTAAGCTTATCCCATTCACATTCTCAATTATGATTACTAACTGTGCATTTCCAGGAGCAAACTCTCTTGAACCAGTAAATTTCTAAATTTAGAATAATTACTTAAGCCTTTCCCAATATAAGTAGTCATATGATCAGTTTTTAACACTGATGAATCAATTTCAGTATTTGTGGTTTTTAGCCTTACTCTTTGTTGACAATGAATTCTTTCTCTTTCCACTCACACATAGAACCCAAAGCATGAAATTAGAAAGATAATGGAATTCATGGGGAAGAACCTAGATGAAGATGCTTTAGATAAAATCGTCTATCATACCTCTTTTGACATAATGAAAAAGAATCCGATGGCAAATTATACATCAATTCCTGGTGAAATTATGGACCACTCTGTTTCCCCATTCATGAGAAAAGGTGTCTATATTTTTTCTATTACTTTCTTAAGAATATTCTCTTCTTATATTTCAAGTCATATGGAAATTTCATTTACCCTTCTCTAGCTCAGAATCATGGGTATAGATAGGTATAAATATAGATCTTTCAAGAATGGAAATACTTGTCAGAATAAAATGATTGTTTTAAGGGGTGGCTGATAAAATGACAATAATCTTGTATTTAGAAGAGTAATCTGAAAGTACCCATTAGAAGTTACAAAAAAATCATAACAAAAAAATAATATCCTCAACTCAGTAATTCCATTACTTTGAAAGGACTATTTAAAAAGAAAAACAAATGAACAAAAAAGAACCATCTGTTGAAAGATTTTCATAATAAAATTATATGTAGTTAAAAATAACAGGGATAGGAATATAAGGACCAGACCTGTGATTTCACTGATACAGGAACTCCCAGGTGAGAAGACTTCATCTGTCAAGGGAGATCAGCACTTCTCTACAACTTAAAGACCTAGAGAGCTGCCTAGAGCACTAAGAGGTTAAGTGATTTGCCCAGGATCACATAGCAAATATGGGTCAAAGGTGGGAATTGAACCCAAGTCTTTTTGGCTACTAGACTAGAGCTCTATCCTTTACTTATAACAGCAACAAAAAGGTATAGTTAAATAAATTATTGTATATTCATGTAATGGAATACTATAAAGTAACTGAGACCAATAAGGAAAAAAAAAGACAAGGACATCTGAGAAGCCTTATGAAATAATGCAAAGTTATATAAAAAAAAAAAGCAAAACCAGATGAATGGAGAATATACTGTGACCATATGTGAGGTAAAGTGAATGAGAAAGAATGAACATAGAATACTGGTGAGGATGTAGAGGAAGTGACTACAAAATTGTTGTAATATTTTATGTATTTAAATTAACTAACTGAAATATAAATAACTACTACGCAAGTTTAGCTGGTTGTATTTATGTTTAACATTAAACTTTTAATAAAACTGGGAGGGGGGAAAGAAGGAAAGAAAATACTTAAAATGGCCACTAAATCTCCCCATCTGTGATGCAGGATCTGTAGGAGACTGGAAGAGCTACTTCACTGTGGCCCAGAATGAGAGATTTGATAAAGACTACAAGAAGAAAATGATGGGTACCACTCTGACTTTCTGCTCCAGTCTCTAAGCAGAAATGAGAAGGAACCCAAATGTATGAAGACTTTATCTGCAAATACTCATGAATTGTCCTATCATTTATACTGGCACTATCTTACAGCATTGTTTTAAGGATATTTATAAAGTGCTTTGTAACCCTTAAAGTGGTATATAAGTGCTAGCCATTGTTATTGTTATTATTATGTTTAGTCATCATCATTCTGCTAATTAAAAGGATTGTATTTTCTTTTTATTTATTCCCTTCTCAAGAAGCTAGAAATTCCATGGTTAAATGGACTTAATATTATATGTCCAAAACAGAACTCATTTTCTTTCACCCTGAACCTTTCCAGCTTCCTACCTTCCATATTATTGTAGATGGAAACATCACCCTCCCAGTCTCTCAGGCTCACAACCCAAGAGTCATCCTGGACTCCTCCTATCTTTAACCCCCCAGCTCCCACTTCCATATCCAAGCAGTTGCCAAGGACTGCCGATTTTATCTTTGCAACATCTCTCTTATATTCCTCTGACACTGCCACCACTCCAGTATAGGCCCTCATCACCTCATGCCTGTACAACTGCCATAGCCTGCTGGTGGGTTTGCCTGCCTCAAGTCTCTCCCCACTCCAATCCATTCTCCATTCAGTCACTAAAGTGATTTTCTTGAAATACAGGCCTTATCATATCACCAACACCTCCCCCCTCCCCACCCCTTAATAAACTCCAATGGCTTCCTGTCTCCCCCAGGAGTAAATACAAAATGCTCTATTTGGCATTCAAAGCCTTTCAAAACCTAGCCCCCTCCTACCTTAGTCTTCTTACACCCTACTCCCTAACACATGTTCTTCAATCTAGTAACACTGGCCTCCTGGCTCTTCCATGAACAAGATACTCATTTCTCAGCTCTAGGCTCTTTTTCTTACTGCCCCCCATGCCTGGAGTGCTTTTCCTACTCCACTCAGACTACTGACCTCCCTGGCTTTCTATGAGTCCCAACTAAGATCTTCCTGTCTATAGGAAGACTTCCCTAACCTTTACTAATTCTAGTGCTTTTCCTTTTAAAAAATTATTTTCTATTTATCCTGAACATAGCTTACTTTGTATGCATTTGTTTATATATTGTCTCCCTATTAGATTGTAAACTCCTTGAGAAGAGGGACTGTCTTTTACCTCTTTTTGTATCTCCAGAGCTTAACACAATGTCTGGCACATAGTACGTGTTTATCAAATGTTTATTGAATTGAATTTTGTATTAGCATCATAGCTAAACCTTCTATAAACCATGTTTGTTACAAACTAATCAAGAGTCTATCTTCATATAAATTAAAAAGTTGAAATAAGTTTGGAAGTGGAAGATGGAAGAATAAGGCAGGAAATTACCTGGCTCTCCCAACTTCCCCCACAAATAATGTAAAATAATGCCTCAAAGTAAATTTTAGAGTGGCAGAAATAATCAAAAGTTGGGATAAAGCAGTCATCCAGCCCAAGACAACTTGGGAGGACATTAGGAAAAACCTGACCTCTAGGAGTGGTAGTCTGATCTAACTGAAGCTAGTTGCCTCTAAGCAAATACCACTGAATCAACAAATAAGCCCTGGGGGCAGCTATGTCACAGGTAGGCTTGGCTTCCAGGAATTTTCACTCCATGGATGATGTGGGAGTTGGGTGGCTAATCAAGGAAAGATTGTGGAAGCCCTCTACTGGCACTGAATGCAGGGCCCAGGGATACAGACCAAGGAGTGAGCACACAAAAATATGTAAATCATAGAGGGGAGAGGCCCTGCTGGTTGTGGTCACTCACAGGAGAACAGAGATCCCTATTTCAGTTTCAGGGCAGAGGGGCAAGTTGACACTTGCAGCCACCTCAATTTTACCACTATAAGCCTTAGAAATTGAAAAAATCCACCAATCTCAGCCTGAAAGAGATCCTAAAACCACATGAGCACCTCAACAGATACAGAAAAAGCCTTTGAGAAAGTTCAATGCTCTTTTTCTGCTTAAAAAAAAAAACCTACAAAATATAGGCAGAGGGACCTTTTTTTACTATCATAAAAAGCATCTATCTAAAACAAGCATCATATGCAATGGAGATGTACTAGAACCTTTCCCAATGAATACAAGAAGCAAAGATGCCCATTCTCCTCAGTATTTTTTAATATAGTTCTAGAAATGCTACTAATGGCAAAAAGAATTAAAGGCATAAAGATAGGTAAAGAGAAAATAAAACTATCCTTGATTGCTGATGATGTGATGGTTTACTTGGAAAACACTAGGAAATCAACAAACATGCTAACTGAAACAATTATTACCTTCAACAAAGTTGCAGGCTACAAAATAAATCCTCAAATATTGACAACATTTCTATATGGTAACAAAAAACAAGAAACAATAATAGAAAGGGAAATTCTATTCCAAATAACTATCAAGTACATAAAATATCTAGTTATCAACATCCCAAAGTACACAAAATACCTGTAGAGATTCAATTACAAATCAGCCCCCCACTCCGAATTTCACCTCATACCCTGCAAATTGGTAAAAATGACCCAAAAAATGGCAATGTTGGAGGGGTTGTGGAAAGATAAATATACAAATACATTGTTGGTAGAACTGTGAAATTACATAACCATTTTGGAAAGCAATTTGGAATTATGCAAAGCAAGTGACTAAAATGTCCATATCCTTTGAATCAGAGACCTCATCACTAGGCTTACACCCCAAGGAAGCCATCAATAAGAAAAAAGCTACCAAAAGCTGTCTCTCAGCAAAAGAAAAAAATAAAACCTGATAATAATACACAATTCATATGGTACCTTGCTATAGACTTGCTATATTCTTCTATATGATCTTTTACAATAAGTGATACAGGACTCTGTCTTGACAACACTCAGTGCAGTACATCATTGTAATAATTTCCATATCTTTCAGGTCCCATTGTTAAATGAGACTGTGGTTTAATGGTACATTAAAAGAATACCGTTCTGAGTGTCAGGCCATCTCAATTTTAGTCCAGTGCATAACCTTTGGGCAAACTGCTTAATTTTAACTGAGCTGAAATTTCTCATTTATAAAATGAAGATGTTGAATTATGTGAGCCCTAAGACCTCCTCCACTTTGAAAGTCCTATGATTCTATTAAAATATAGTTAATATAGTGTGCAAAAGGTGATTACATATGCTTGTGTAATTGAAATGGAGGGCTTATTAAACAGTGATAAAGAGCTCCCTCTAGGGTGGAAATCCTGAATTAGAGTTGACTGTGGTACAATAAAATTAAAAAGTGCTCAAATTCTAATCCCATTAATTATTCCCCAAAAGCATATATCATAAAAGGATTTCTAAGACATGATAAGTAATCTAAATAACAACATAAATTTGAATATAAATTTAAACATCCAAATTATAGTTGGTCCACACACATTTTCGTACTTCTGTAACAGCGGTTTAGCATATACCTAGACCTAAGCAGGTTTTTACCCTCCTAGATATTAGGGGATCTGCTTCTCAGACACTGGATAGCTGAGATCTGTGGACATTCTACTGTTGGCCTGTCAACTTTTTCCACTGGCTGCATAGCCAAAACTGTCTGCGTCTCTAAAGGTGCCTGGCTTAGTACTGTTCAGGGCTTTTTCTTGCATTCCTGTCTGAGCATGAACTCCTTGACTCACAGCAGGGGGAGGGCCTGAAAGCCACCTCCTTCTCCCTATCCTCCACCTTAGGCCATGTAACCTCAAAAAATGGCCCTGGGGTTTTGGCCTTCTTATTCATGTTTTTTGTGAAAGGTAAAGGTTGTACAGTCATGGGGATCTGGTAGAACAGCAATTCAGGTCAGATATTGCAATCAGCCTAGCAAAAGAGCTCTAAGGAGTGGACATCTAGGTCAAGGACCTAACAGGGGTTTGGACTTGAATTTGCTGGCGTTAATGCTATTTTGAGTTAAACTGTGAGCCTAATCCCCATCCTTTCCCCCAAGATGTAGGTGGTATGGGGAGAAGGGCATTCTACCTCTGAAGTTCTAAAGGAAATGTTTGGATACTTGTTCCTGCTATCACTGAAATAAATATCTCTTTATAAAAGCTAATCTGATATTAAGTGGGTAAATGGAAATGGAGTGCTAGTCACTGGGCCCCCAAAATTGGGAAGCTCTCACCAGTGACACAGGAGAGAGACTCCCCAGTCATCTCAGGGCACCAGAAAACCCTGTCAGGGTGAAACAAGGGACCCAGCCCTCAGAGAGTGGGATCAGAACATCCATGTTGCACTTCACTATGGTTAATTACAAAGCTGCCTTAACAACAAAATCGAAGTCTGCAAATGACATTCATGTGCTATTCTGATATTTTAGAAATGCCCACAAAAGACATGCCACACACACACACACACACACACACACAGAACAGAGAGCTTCAGAAATATGGGACATAATTCAGGAGGTCTCTACAAGGGCCAAGAGTAGCAGAATATCTTGAACCCACAAGTTAAGTAAGGGGATGGTCAATGATGCTTATAAAGCATTACAATTGGGCAACATTAGTATTATATGTATCATTGACCCCTTTAGATCAAATATAATCATTTAGAGTAGTTGGATTCATTAGACGACAGTTCTACATCAGTCATGCTTTAAAAAAAAAAGCATACTAACTAGTATTTATAGTGATTAAAATTAGAAGATATGGAATTTAGTCACCATTTTTCTCATTCATAGTATCTTAAATTGACTGCATCTATTAACATTTAATCAGCTTATTTTGCTTATATGGATTAATTTAGAAAATTATGAAATTTACATAAAAATATAACTAATATAAATGTTATACTAAATTTCCTTAAATAAGAATGTGCTTAAATGTCTTCTCAAAAACAACTATATATGCTTACCATATGTTTATATCTAGTATATAGTGCTTAATATGTATCATATACTTATGCTAAGGACTTTAAATAATCCTCAAAATCACCCTGGAAGATAGGTGCTATTATTATTCCCATTTTATAGATGAGGAAACTGAGGCAAATAGAGGTTAAGAGACTAGTCATACTAGTAAGAACCTGAGGCGAAGTTTGAATTCTGGCATTCCAGACTCCAGGCTTAGTGTTTTAACCAACGTACTATAGATAGACCAATGGATTTTAATGTAACAGAGTACAAAAAGTCCATTTATATGGTTTCAGATTCCACCTTTCAACTAACCTTTAAGAAACAACTAAGTATTTGTTGTTGTTCAGCCATGTCCCACTCTTTGTAACCCTATTTTGGATTTTCTTGGCAAAGAAACGAAAGTGGTTTGCCATTTCCTTCTCCAGCACATTTTAGAGATAAGGAAACTGAGGCAAACAGAGCTAAGTAACTTGCCCAGGGTCATACAGCTAGTGAGTGTTTGAGGTCAGATTTGAACTCAGGAAGATGAGTATTCCTAACAACATTTCCAACACTCCATCAGTGCTCCACCTAGCAACAAGCAGTGGTTAATACTAATTGGTTAATATACCAACAGGTATTTATTAAGTCTATTACTGCATGAGCCAGGTAGCATGCTAGACCTTTGGGATTCAAATACAAAGAATGAA